TGCTAAAATTTTAAGATCTATCCTTATTATTCTCTCTTTCTCTCTATAGAAAGTTGCTTGTAACGTTTGTATTGCTTTTCACATTATGTATCCACCAAATTAACTTATTAGTTTCCCAAGATGGAAAGTTCTTTTTCTGGCAGTCTGTCTCAATATTTGCTTCCTGGAAGTTCTCTGACACATAAATTCTAAAGTGAGATGGCTGGGCCATAGGACAGCTGTGGGATGAATTTTACTCATCATTTCCAAACTGCTTTCCAAAATTAATTCATACATCCACCAACACCAGGAATTAATGTTGTTACTAACTGTTGCCAATACGATGGGTATAGCATTTCCAATTTTCACTTTTCAGTTTATGAGTCAGTTTGGCTATTTCTTGCTCAGGTTTTTCCTTTGTAAACATCGATATTAACATTTGCTCATTTTAAATTTTACTTGTTGACAGCAGATCCCCTGAAATGTCTGTCATGCACCTATGAGTATTGAGATGTCATGTAGACATATATAGTCACGTAGGTCATTTGTTAGCTTAGTTACTTAAAATATTTCCTTTGGTCATTGCAGAAGTGCATTCCTTAACTATGTTATTTTTTTTCTTTTAGCTTTATGCTGTTCCTCTGTTATCCTCTAATCTATCTGGAGCTGGACTCTAATCTCCCATGGTACTGTGTGGGTATCCATTTCTTCCCATGTAATGATCTGTGCTCCAAAAATCTCTTTTAAAGAGTTTGGCTGTCTGTCATGCCTAGAGAGATGGTTCATCAGTTAAGAGTATTGGTTGCTCTTCTAGGGAACCCTGGTTCAGTTCCCAGCACCCACATGGTAGCCCACAGTTGTCTATACCTCCAATTTCAGGGGATCTGACACCCTCACACAGACATACACCCAGACAAAATACCAATGCACATAAAATTTAAGAGTTTGACTGTCTCCATTACATAAGCAATATATCTTTATCATTCACGACTTGAATATTTTTATAAAAAGAACGATTCTAGAAGAATAATGACCCAGGATAACAAAAGTCAAGAGGTGTTTTTATCCAGCCTTCAGAACCACACATAAACAGGAAATCTGGAATTTTGGAGTAAGTGGAGAGAAGGAATCTTCTTATGTCTATAAGATATTAACATATTCTTGCAATGTCTTCAATGTTTAATAGCAAAATAATATTTTCATATATCATGTAAATAAAATATTGTATATGTCACATCAAAACTATACTTCTGCAATAGTTTTAAGATCATAGCATATCTGTCATGTGCAATTTTTAAAAATTTTCCCAAAGTTTCCTGAATTTTCTGGCATGAATTGGAATACTTGACAAGATAGAGCATTTAATTAGCAAGATTTTTTTTGTAAACAAGGAAAAAAGGTTCTAAATAAAAGTATGTCTAATTTATGGCCCAATTCAGTGTTCTCTACAACAAAAGCTCTCAGGGAAAAATTCCTTTGATTATTTGTTGAAGGTCCACTTACTAACTTTAAATTTACATGTAGCATGAAATCTTCTTTCATGAAACTCACACTCTGTCATTGCCTTCCTTGAGGGTTAAACAAATAACTACACTTTCATCTACAGAGTCCTTCTCACATACAGCACTGTCAGTGATGAGCTTGAATATATATTTCTTGTTTTCCCTTGGATTTGGTAAGAAATTATTTTGGAATTTTATTGTTTTGTTACATTGTCCAATGATGCCAAACAACAAACAAACAAAAACCAAGCAAGCTACTATTTCTCTTAGAACTTCAAGGCATGTGGTATCTTAAAACTCCTAACTGAAAGTCTACCATTACCTAGCACTAGTATCCAGACTACATATCTTTAATGCCTACAGGCACACTGGAATTTAGTAGCAGAATATCAAATTCAATCCACCTAGCGTTCTTGACAGTGTTATCAGATATAATGAAGTTGATCTCTAAGCCTACAAGGAGTTAATGGTCACTTTTTGTGTATTGATCTGGGTGGAAGCTTGAGATAGTATTATCTACCACTAAGAAATAAAAAGAATTGAGTTTTGCTTTACAAATTATGTAGCTGATATAGCTGAATTATCACAATTCATATGCTAGCATATTTTTGAGTGTTTCTAGTCATGTTGGTTTGGGAACAAAGGTGCATTATGGGCAGATCACAGGGGAACAAAGAGAAAGTGATGATTGCCTAGGTAGTAAATATCCAGATGTAAGTGAGCCACCTACTCTTGTTAGATGTGGACTCTTCTAAAGAGAGTTTGAGTAATAGCTAGAAACCCCAAATTATGGCAAAATCACAACTACAAACCCATATAGGAAATAGTTTCAAAGCAGGACTGTGTTGGAGATAGGCAGGTGGCCTACAATGCATCCAGTGCACAATGCAAAACTTGAGTTTTTACAAACAACGTATCAGCTTTGAGAACTGCAAACTATTAGTCAGAGTTCTTTTTGTGTCATGGCAGTGAATTGCTGCATGTTTTACACTATGACAAAAGCACAAAAAAGAAAGAAAGAAAGAAGAAAAGAAAAAGAGAAAAGAGAAAAGAAAATAAAAATGTTTTGAACTGTATTTTGTAGTTCTGTGGACTAGGCAACACAGGATCTGACTTCAGCACTCAGGAAATCTCAGGGACTCTTCTGACTATGGCCTATGTCCACACAGGTAGAGTTGTGGAAAAATTTCACATAATCAGGTTTGGCAACACAAATATGAAACAAGAAATGAGTCAACAGTTTGCAGGTGGAGAACTGTGCTTTTCTATACAAAAGTTTCAAGAATGTTTTTCTACTGAATTTTTGTTGAAACAGGGCTATTGTGATATCATTAACGTCTTGTTACCTTGAGAATTTCTGAAATCCACATAGGTGACACTGAAGAGTTATTTTTTGATATGTAAAATCTCCTGAGTTAAAATAGCATCTTATATGGGAAAACACTAAGTAAGTTCAAAACTCCCTGACAGGATATAATTTTTTGCTATTATGTTTTGTAACATCTCCACATTATTTAATAATTTAAGTCAGTATAGTCTACTACTTCTGTTCATCAATCATGTATTTTCAACACTATCAAAAAGACTTTGTTTCTACTAGCCACAAAATATTTTAAGAAAAATTTTATTAACTATAAAAATGATAGTTTTCTGATCTACTTTAAAAAATATTTCTTTGTAATTAGCATGATTGAAACATGACCAATGTTGCTAGGAGAAATTTAAACTAATTAAATCCTTTAGCAGCAGCATAAAAGAGCCTCTATTCACCAGAAGAAGAAAGATAATAAATAAACTTGATTTTATATAACAAAAAAGCCTTTTACCCTTTGAAAAATATTTATGTAAGAAACTTTGATAAATTTATAAAGCTAATAAGTTTAATTGGCTATAAAAGAACAAAAGAAATATAAACTTGAAGTAACACCACAGATGTCAAATACAAGGTTATACTACATCAGAATGAAGAATTCACAGCACAGTGTTCTCTCATAAAAAGCATTTGATATACAATAAGCTGGCTCAGATAAGAATTAAAAATGAAATATATAGTTATCTTGGCATATGTACTTCATCTTCAATATTCCTATTTTAGATTTCTTGGGAACATCCATGGATGAGCATGAATGCATGCATATGAGTATTTATTAAGTCAAATAACAATAAATGTGTTATGACTTACATTAAGGGGTATCACTGGGATATCAGCAAGGACTATAAAATGATCATATTTAACATTTACTCAAATTTTACTCTAGACTGGTGCTTACCAGTGTAATTGTTCATGGAAACATTCATCTCTTCCCAGAGAAATATGCTAGATGTTTGCACCCTAAATCTTTCTTTTGAAGTGACTGGGTCTGAACTATTACCGTTTCACAAGTTTGGGCAAAAGCCATCACCCCCACACACTATACTCTCCCAATATAGAGTTTTAAGGGTAACTTCCTGTTCTACCTTTTAGCACACTTGCTTGATAACCAGAATCAAGACAGTGGTCTTTTCCTATTATGTGCCCTCTACCTTGAAATGTCTTCATTGGCTAAGAACTATTTCCTAGTTTTAATTTTGGAACCATCTCTTCTCTGAAACAGTTACATTGAACTTGATTCTACTAGATTAGATTTAACTCTTCCTATCTATGATCTTTCCAGCACTGTGTTTATAACTGTCATGATGATGATTGTGGTATCTTATGAATTAATGATGTGCACCTATTTTCCTCCCAGTGGCAATATCTTCATACTCTCCCACAGTGCCTGGTCCCAGAGCTTGACATCAAATAGCTGTTCAGTGTTTTAAAAAATAGGATGAGTAACTCCATAGACAAGAAAACAGGTGAGAAGTTGTGAGTATTGTAACTACTTAGGTCATTGAGTGGATCCTTTAAGTGGTGGTGGTGGGGACCAGGGGTACAAAACCTTGAAGCAGGAAGTTAGTATAAAATGATAAAAGGCAATGAAAACGTAGACAAAGGAGACAAAGAAATGACCCAAATCGGAACAACACCCCAATGCAGCTAACATCCTAAGTTAACTGAATCAAAAGCAGGCACATTGTCAAGTAAAAGAATTTTCTTCCTGAATAATCAACACTTTCTTGTTTAATTATATTTTCTTATAAGTACTCTTTTAGGAGAGAGAAGATAATGGTAAGATATTATTAATAAAGGAAGGACTGTGCCTAAGTAATCAATGAGTACTCATGATTCAGCCATTCTCTTCAGAAAGGGTCTTTGGCTCAGTTTCATTACCACTCTGGTTAAAGTGGAAATGGCTATTACAAGTAGTAACAAGGAAACATTCAGCGAGTCCCTGCCTCAAATCAAATCCTATATCAAGAGGCTTTAAAAAAATTCTCTCATTTTACTTGACTGAGTCTAATACCATGAGCTCCATTTTCAGAGAAAGTTGATGACTGGAATGAGCGGCTAGGGGAGGCTGCAAAGTTACTGGGCAGCTCTGGTCTAGCCAAGTTGGGGAGCTCTTTTGTAACCCTCCACTCTCTGTTCCTTCCTTCTTTAGTGTTTGGTGACACCATGACTCACCTATCACAGCCTATTGAAAATATTCTCATATTAGGAAACTTTAAGGCATTTCACATTTGCCAAAGTGCAGTTTGACAACCCCTCCCATATGGAGCTGGAGCATCTGGCTATATTCTTTGGGCATCTGGTGGAAACCACGCTTGGGTAACTTGTTGTCATAGTAGTGGTGACTGAGAGGAATTTTTTCAACAGTCTTAGAGAAAGGCCAGAATCCATAGAGTTTCACGTTCTCACACAGTTCTATGGCGATACTTGCTATCATCAAGCCTGTGGACAAGCGGTAAGCTGTTACCCCTTTAGTTTTCCAGAAAAGAGCAAGGTGTCTCAGGTATCTAGGGTGGAAGAAGAGGACCTTTTGCCTAACTTTAGACTCTTTGAGGGTTTGGTAGACTTTAAAAGAGATGCCCGTGTTGACCCTGTAGGAGAAAGCTGGCAGGAGAAGGAATGTGTCTCCATAGTTGGAAATATCCTTCAGAAACCTTTCTTTCTTCTCGTTCAAGTTCTTGTATCTGCCAAGTTAAAAAAAATAACAATCATCATCATCACAACAACAATAATAATATCAAAGCAATAATTTTGGTTATATGATGGTCAAAAATACAATCATTTATATCCAATGCATTAAAAATTCAAATCACTAACTTAGCAACATCGATCAGCTATGAAGAAAATTTCAATACCTGATCTCCATTTCTCTTTCCTGATCTCCAGAGTCTTATTAATAGATAGACTTTTCTTCTATTATTTTATATTACAAACCAGTGACATTATATAATGTTGCTTTATCTTTTTAATACCTTTAAATTTATTTAAACCAAATATCATACCATATATATATATATATATATATATATATATATATATATATTTAAAAGTTGTAAGTTATAATCTATTATACATACTTAATCACCAAATAGTTTTGTTTAGAAGGCCTATGCCTGCTTGAAAATGTACATGTTATGTTTTGTTATAACTTCCTTCTGACTACTTAGGCTATCACCCTCTTATGCTTCACATGACACCTTAGGAAGAACTCTTGCAAGTAAAATTTTTCACAATTAACTTTTGGAAGGCAGTACCCTGTTTTGTTTTCACTCAGAGATTCTAGAGCAATTTGAGGAATTTATTCTATTATTAATTATTAGCAGTCTCTTTTACTTTTTGTTGTTGTTTTTTGTTTTGGTTTCTCAAGACAGTTTCTCTGTGTAGCTCTAGCTATGCTGGAACTCACTCTATATACCAGGATGGCTTCAAACTTACAGAGATCAGCCTGCCTCTGTTTCCTGGGTGCTGGGATTAAAGGTATGTGCCCACCACCGCCCAGCTAGCACTCTCTTTTTGACAAACAACAACAACAAAACAAACAAACAACCAACCCCCCAAAAAAACAAAAAAATGGAGCAAAGTATATGTGGGGTTTTTATGAACAAATGAACATTCTATAACAGTTATGTTACAGAAGCTATAGAAACTATTCTGACTAACAAACTATTGAAAGTGAAAGCCAATGGTACTTTGTCCCATTGTGCTAGGGCTTCCCCCCAAACTCATAAACAACTTTGTCAAAAAAGCACTCACTACTAAGGGGGAAGTGTATATAGTATGAAGACTCTGAAAGAAAATGGAAGAAATCACATTCCCTATTTGTTAAGTTGAGGATATAACTTCTTCTTTGATTAGAAACATGCAGCTCATGACACTACAAGGACACCTGAGATATTGTGCACACAGCTTGGATGAGATGTCAAACTTTGTAGAGGTGTTCTTTTGTGTTTTCTCCAGAAGCTGGCTCAGCTGTGGAGCATGTCAGCCTCAGCAGCGAGATAAACATATGAAGCGATCAGAAAGTGTTCTGATGAGTTATGCAGCTTGTAGGCACTCACTTCAGGGTTATGATGCTGGGATTGACAGTCACAAGATTCGTTTTTCTCCCAACATCTTCACTAGCATTTCCTGTGATTGGGGGGAGGTTACACCTGGAATAAGGAGGGGAAATTATTTTCAAAATACAACCTATAAAATGTAGATGTACACACAGACACACACACACACACACAGATACGACAACTGTTGTAATTGCAGAGGCAACCAGTTAGGGCTTCAGATCCATCTCATTTGCACTTGAAAATATCAAGAGGTAAAGGCTCTAAAATGATGCTTCAACAATGTACAAAATCTCATAAGTGATTTCTAACATTTTTATTGACATTTGTAAGTATCAAAACCAGAACTGACAAATCATTCCTTGCCATGTTTCTGAAGGATTTTCAAGGCTTTTGTTTATTAAAAATGTGATTTAGATTAACCATATTGATATTCTTACAGTGGAATGAACACTATAGACATACAGAACTGGAGGCACTATAAAAACAGTGATAAAGCCTCCCAGAAATAAAACCTACATAGGAACACTAGTATCTTCTGATATCTCTATGGATAACTTTGTCATCAAATTAGGTTACTAATGAAGGAAATTTGAAGCAATTTTGTCCTGCTGTCCTAAACCTGGAGTACGAATGTTTCATTAGAAAACCATGAAAGATACTAATTTTGATATGATCCAATCTAAAAGAAGGGAATATACTTTAAATTTCAGTTGGACCATCCTCTCAAAGGAGGGCATGCAAAGGGAGCATTGAGTGTACAGCTCACATCATCTGTAATGTGGATGGGGCTGCAGGACTCTGCTCCATGCCCTATGAAACACAATAATAAATAAAATATACTTCTCACTTTGATATAAAATATACATCAGAAAATATGTATTCATTATAGATAGGAGGCCACAGAATGACCTTAACAGTAGCCTCCTGTAACAAGTCACAGACACACATTCTTTTGAAGAATCCAAAGTGGTTTTGCTATTGTTTGAGACGGGGTATTACTTGGTAGCCCAGGCTGACTCTAACTCATCCCAAGTTAGCCTTAAACTCTCAAAGATCCTTCTGCCTCAGTCTCCCAACTGTTGAGACTACATGCAATGAGCCACCATGCCAGGCTTAAAAGTGGTTTCTAGTGCTTTTTTGGCAGCACATATACTATCATTGGAATGATACAGAGAAGATTAGCATGGCCCCTGCAAAGGATGACATGCAAATTCATGAAGCATTCCATAGTTAGAAGAAAAAAGTGGTTTTTAATATAACTAGAGACTTCATGGAAAACATCAGGATATATATGTGTGGGAGACATCCTTTTATATGGATATGTGTAATATATATATATATATATGTATATATATACATATATATATATATATATTACTCCAATGTAACAGTATAGCTATAGCATACTATATAATATAGCTATAACCATGTTTGTTCCTTATACACTTAATTTGTAGTTACCAATGTATGAAATGAAAACAAATGTGCAACTTCTATGTGTGACCAGAAGGCATAGGCAAAGTAAGTATAGGCTTAAAAACTAAATACATTTTAATGACAGCAACCAAATGTTTTCAGTTTGAATGGCCAAGAAAGAGTGTGGTTCAGAAAATCCTAGAGTCAGCTAAAGTCGAACCTGCAAACCCAGGCCTTGTCTTAAAGTTATCAATCAACTATCTATCTGCTGAGACATTTTCCTAGACTTTAAGCTAAACTGTTCATTCTATGGCTTCGATAAAGTAAAATTAATGTTTTTTTGCATAATACCACAGATGTTTGGGGAATTTTAAGTCTATAAAAAGCCTGTTACATGAACCATTATTTATCTTCATTGTGACTCCCACACCACACACAAACACTGAGAATGTGAACAAGTGCTAACCATTTCCAATACTGGCCATGGCAATGTGAAACACGAAAAGTGTAAAAATTGTTCTGTCAAGAATACAATGAGTGTTTAGTAATTTCGGGGCCATCAAATTGACGATTGTGTAGTTGTCATTAATATAAATTACCAACATGAGATGAAAAGTGAAGGGGGGAGATTTTTTTTGAACTTCATTTGTGGTTGCTGTTAATATGTAGAACAAATACTTGTTAAATCCATGGGAACCAAAGGGTCTCAATATAAAAAAAAAAAAAAAAAAATGATGCTCCCAGAACATAAACAAGCAGACATTTGCCACTTCCTCTCTTAAATTACCCCTGGGCAATTTGGTGATTATTAGCATGAATAACCCACAGAAACTAACTTTGTGTTGTTTTCATAAATTACTTTGTATTCAGGCAAAACTGCTTTAGACCAGAATTGAGCAGATGAACAATATGAATTTATTTTCAAACTGGAAATCAGTGCTGTGTATGACTATACAATGTCTAGGTCAGCATCTTTCCTAGTGTTACTGAAGAATAAATGCATTCCAGGACAGAGAAATATTCCTCCTAGTAGTGTTTCCAAGGGAACCATTATACCCATCCACAGGCTAAAGACTCTTATAAGTCCTTCAGTCCCAAACCTTTGGCTGCAACTTCACCCAGTTTCTTCTTGCATGTCTTTATGGTACTGATGTGAACAAGCTGAGGAACTCAGTTAGAGTCCTGTAACTTCCAGGAAAGCCTTCCTGAGTAAACTGTAGATGTTAGCTACACAATCACAAAGACAAAGGCAAAACTTGACACATTGTTTCTATTACTCTTTAAAACAGTCAATGGCTCCTTGGTTTCCAAGAAACAACTATGACAAGACTCACCTAAAAACGAAGTCAGATTTATCAATTTCCGCTCCACAGAGAGACTTGTTCAGAATTCCCCCATTGCCAACCACTGCACACTGGTTATAGGGGTAGCCTACAAAAGGCTGGGACTAGTGGGAGAGAAGAGAAACCAGACATGACACACAACTGATTGAAAATTAGAACTAAGGTTACTATGTGGCTAAGTAGAAGAGATCTAATTCCCAAAGCCCCCAAGGGTGAAAAAATAAAAAAACAAAAAAACAAAAACAAAAAAAAAAAAAAACCAAGTATCATCAGTTGGAGCCCAGAAACTTAACTTTCCATGTGTGCCTTAGGAGAAGAAAAAGAGAGTAAGAAAAAGAATCAGAAACAGACATTGGTGGGAGTAAAAAGGGAAGCATGGGGTCCAGAGAGATGATGTCTTAAGTAGGAGCATTTGCTGTGAAAGCGAGAAACACATGGGAAAGTAGAGGAGCAAGCTGAAGTAACAGCTCTGGACAGGCAAAACTGGGCTATGACCCAGGCAGGCTGCTCCAAGCACTGCTCAGCCCACAGTTTCTTTCTAGCCACTGAATTAACATGTTCATGATGCATTCCTCTCTATTCAGAAGACCCAGCGCTGTGTCTGGCTTTAACATAAATGCTTCCCAGATAGTGAAATCTCTTTCTCATCTTTGAAATTCAAGCCAAGGATGGCTACAGAGTTTTTACTCGATGACTTCTCAGTAAATTCTGCATTTTATAGACAGGGTGAAATGCAATAATGCAAATATGCTCTTTATGGCACAATACAAAAGATTACTAAGGAAACGCATCTCAGATTAGACCCTCAAAATAATGACTGTTTTCTTGGTCAATTGGGAAGAAATGGCCGTATGTTTGGGGAGCTGGTGTTCAGTAGGAGCCAAAATAAATTACAAACCTCAATATCCCCTGAAGTAAACCAGTATTTGGAGGCATTGCTTCACACTATTTTTAATGGAACAGTTTTATGGCAAGCTGCTCTGAGGCTGGTGGTCCTAGGGTCTGTGGGCACAGAGGAGCAGGGGAGACCGTGTGGACCATGGGAAGGAGGGCAGAAAAGAGGTCAGCTTCAATCTTATCCCCAGCCATGGGAGGGGAAAGAGGAAACAACACAAGGTGACATTATTTTACTCGGGTCACTCAGTAGAATTTCTTGTTTGCCAACTAAAGGCAAACAAACAAAAAAAATCAGGATAGTGGGAAATGGGTACAGTTGTTAATATACAGAATTACCAACTTTTGTCATTTTCTTATCAGGATGCTGTGTTAGAGACATATGTAGCAGTATCTCTGAGCTGGACAGCAGAAAACAAGGGAAACATCTGAAAAATGTACCTAGATGGAGAGAGACTGCTTACACGATTACCCTAGCTTCCTACAGCATAGAAATACTTCATTACTAGTCATGGTTTCACTTACTTGCTTTTGCTTTGGATGTTTTTTGTTGTTGTTGTTGTTGTTTTTTAATTTAATTTAATTTTTTTTATTTTGTAGTTGGGAATGAAACTCAGAACTTTGCATTTGGCCTCTAAGCTATATAGGCCTCCACTCCTTGGTATTTGAAGATAGTCTCATTATGTACCCAGGCTGACCTCAAACTCAGGATCAACCTGCCTCCTCCTCCCAAGTGCAAGAATCACACACATGAACTACCTTTTATTCCTTAAACTTTCTTGAGGAACACTTATTTACAACAAACTGCATTCCTTTGTTTATAAAAATTTCTCCATTTTATGAGAAACTTTTCTGTCCTTTTAGTCTAGAAAATTTGAAGTATTTTTTGTATCATTTTCTAGTTATCTCTCATTTACTATCAAAAACTATTCTTTCTCTGAACTGTGACACAAAAATATTGATATAACTCATATGAGCCACAATAAACTAGTTTCTAGAAGTCAAACATCTAACAAAGGGTGAATTAATTATGAAACCATATCTACAGATAGCAAGCTGCATAGATAGAGTGATCTCATCTGATCATGTCAATTTGACCTAATTGCTTTTAAACATCATAAAAAGATGCTTTCAAGACAAACTCTCCCTCAATTTTATACTTGAATTACATGAAAATTACATTTTCTCACTGTGCTAAGCAGCAGAGTATGTATCATTTACTCATGTTTATTTACAGACATGTGCTGAGTGTGTTTATGCACTAGGAAATGTTCTAGGAGCTTGGGATACAGCAGTGAACACAGTAGACAATAGACTGTTTTGTAGATGTTATATGAATTGTTCATGAATTCTTAAATAGTGACATCACAAAAGTAAGTCACATAGGCCTTTTTTTTTTTTTTTTTTTTTTTTTTTTACAAGGATGGGCTTAGTCATCAAAAAGGACAAAATGAAGAATCTGATCCTAGGCAAAACGTGGTAGTCACCTTTCCATACCGCAGTCAATACAGATCTGAAATGCCATGTCTCAGCTCATTGACTGAAGTGTCAGGGAGAGTGGAAAGCTTAGAGAACTTATCATTTATGATATAAAGTCTGTACTTAGGGAGCCACACTGCATTCAGAATTGCTTTCACAGGGACTGGGGGTGTAGCCAGTAGTAGAGTCCTTGCCACGTATGGGCAAGGTTCTGGGTTCAATCTCAAGGAGATAAAACATAAAAATAAAAGAACTAGATTCTTGGATGGGCCTGCCAATATACATGTCCCATATGCCATAACAATATGGTAGCCTTAAAATTACTCACTCATTCCTGCAGGTCATAACCTCAAACCACCCTTACTTACCACTGGGAACATGTGGAAAATGTTCTCTCGAATAGGAATTTGCTTCTTGCTTTCTGCCTCATAGCTCAAGTTAGTCCCCACCGGCGTATTGTTCTGGGAAACCACGAAGTACTGAACTGCATCACAACAGGAAGCCAGTTTTGCTCTACAATGGATGAGAATGAAAGTAAGTGAGGAAGACACCAAACATGGTCCCTACAATGGATGCAGCAAAAGAGGATTGGGGCTGTTGCCTTTCAAAAGGAAGACATGCTAGGCACCAACATGACATCACTCCTCTGCAGCCCTGGGTGGGAGGATGGTGACACATGGGGTGCATATCCCTCAGGTAGAAGCCCATTCACAGAGTTAACAGTTCTGAACACATTCACAGAGATTAAAAACTTCTTCGCAATGAGATTGCTAAGAGAAACAGAGAAGAGAATCCATCCCAGTAGTCCCCTTGAGAAGTTTTAATCGCCCAACTGAAACTGCTCCCAGATAATTTCAAGAGGATGAGCCCATTTCACATAACTTTAGTAAAGAACATTGTTATAGTTGCATTTTTATTTATTTATTTTCACATTTTGTTTGCATACGTAAGGGTGATTTATTTGTGTATATGTTTGGGCACCATTTGAATGCAGTACTCACGTGGGTGCTGAGAATCAAACCCAGGTTCTCTGATAAGGCAGCTAGCACTCTTAAGCACTGTGCCATCTCTCTAGCCTCTCTCTACTCCTCCCAGTTCCTCACCCTTTCCTGCTTCCCCAAGAGCAACTCCTCCTCTGTTGCCCTTAAAAAAGAGAGAAAAGAGCATGCCTCCCTGGGATATCAACTGAACATGGCTGGGGAACAAGCCTTCATATCACAGCTGGATGTGGCAACCCAATAGAGGGAAAAGAGTCCCAAGTGCAGGCAAAAGAGTCCGAGACACCCCCAGTCCCATTGTTGACAGTCCCACAAGAACACCAAGCTATACAACCATACGGTACACACAGAGGACCTCGCTCAGCCCCATGCAGGCTCCATAATTGTCACCCCAGTCTCTGTGCACCCCTATGAGTCCTGCTTAGTTAATTCTACAGGTTGTCTTCTCATGGTGGTCCTTAGCCCATCTGGCCTCTACATTTCTTCCATCCCCACTTCTACAGGGTTCCCCTGACTCCACCTAGTGTTTGTCTGTAGGTCTCTGCATCTGCTCTCAGAAGTTTCTGGGTGATGCCCTAATGATGATAATTGTCTAGCCCCAGTTTTAACTGTATGTTATCATAAGTTACTATTTTTTGTTTTACCTTTTAAAAAATTTATTAATTTAAAAATTATTAATTTAAAAATTAATTTAGAAACATCTTATTTTACATATCAATCCCAGTTCCCTGTCTCTCCCATCCTCCCATGTCCCCCACCAACCTCCTTCTCCCACCCCATCCACTCCCTAGGGTGAGTGAGGCCTTCCATGGGGCACTATCAAAGTCTGTCACATTATTTTGGGGCAGGCCCAAGACCTCCTTTGTGTATATGGGCTGAGAGAGTATCCCTTCATGGGGAATGGGCTCCCAAAGTCCATCTGTGCACTAGGGATAAATACTTGTTCCACTGCCAGAGGTCCCATAACTTTTATGTTGTTTATGCAATTCTTTAGAGATGTAGATGTCAAAGCATTTCTTAGTAATTATTCTAGGATTAATCACCTTAAAATCAGGAGATGCTTCTACTTACACAACTAAGCTATCTCCTGAGGTCTGTTTTTTTTTCTGTTCATTTTCTTGGAATGCTTAAAGTAACAGAATATGGAAACCAAGCACCTGATTAGGCTTTCAACCTTGCGAGAGTCTGCAAAATTTCCTCTTCCTTTTGCATTTTATGAATAGTACCCATTTTCATTATTTTCATCATTTCATCACTCTTCAAACTTGTCCATTTTCCATATTACTTATGAAATATGCATGCAATTGGAACCACACACTGCAAAAAAGACAATGTCTCTGCAGTAGGACCTAGCTATGGTGAGAGTCACTATAACTGGTCTTTTTCAATACCACATTTTTATTGTTGGGTCTTGGTTCTGAAGGGTACACTTTTCGACACATTCCTACAGAGTTTTATACTTTTGGAGTAACGCAATGCTCTAGTTGGTGCTCGTTGGAATTCCATCCTCCTGAATTCCACTAATTCTTAGGGTATGGAAAGCGAAGGTAATGTCATTTGTACCCAAGGTCAAGACTTCCTATAGCAGTCATCAGGTAACTTGTTTCATTAAAAACATTATACTCTTCTTATTTTCTGTTAGCTGCTTATTATTTTCTGTCCCTTAGGATCTAACATTTCTAGAAGATAGTTCATGGATATACCAACCCAAACAAACAAACAAAACAAAAAACAAGAAAATGAAAACAAAGGAAATAAAAATACTAAGTAGTTTTTAATTATAAACTTAATTTGATAACAATTCTTTTGTCACTCTGCATTTGAGTATCCTAAGAGAGAGCAATGCAATAAATTCTCATTTACTTTTGGCAAGTAACTTATTAAAGATATTCATGCTTTAAAAAATAGTACAAAACCAAAAAATGTTAACCAGGGTTCCCCCATTAGTGCTTTTTTGTATTAATAAGCATTTTTGGAATTATGCTATTTAAGTGTATTATAATAACATTTTAAAACTCACAGGAAAGTTTGAAGTTGAAAAGTGAGCACCTGAGTAACCACCAGCTAGATTCTACAATTAACTCTTTACTAAATATAGACAATAGTACATCTCTTGGTCCATTTTGACTATTGTAGCTTTTTCCATCCATCTAAATGGTGGGTCTTATTATGATTCAACTTTCAACACCCTCCACCCAGCAGTGTAATGGCTTGAATAGAAATGGCCTCCTGATCAGAGATGACTTGAGGTCAACCATGTGTCACAATGATAAGCTTGATGATTCTTCCCTTCTTGTGAGAAGTGGGGACACATTAAGAAATGGAAAATATTGCTGATGTTGATTAGAACATCACTTCTGGACTACTTAACCATCTGCTATGAGAGCTTTCATAGCCTTCTATAGTAAATGTCAATATTCATGAGCCACACACTTGTAAAGGCCTATGCACTCTCCTGAACATTTGTAGACACAGCATCCCACTCAGTTCTCAGAGCTGAAATGGTAGTAGACAATATTACTATATACATTTTAAACCTAAGAAAACTGGGGTTGATTGTTGCAGAATATTTGTGTATATTGTGAAGATGTAAATTTGCCAAGGCAGCTTCTGATTGGTTTAATAAAGAGCTGAATAGCCAACAGCTAGGCAAGAAGAAGTTTGGCAGGACTTCTGGGGACAGAGAGGAGTCTGGGAAAAAGAAAGGTGAAGTCACCAGCGAGACTTGAAATAAGTCAGACATACAGTACAGAGGACAGATAACTGAGCCACATGGTAGAATGTAGATTAATAGAAGCAGGTTAATTTGAGTTATAAGAGCTAGTTGGGAAAAAAATCTCAGCTAAGGCCAACTTATCATAATTAATAATAAGTCTCTGTGTCATTATTTGGGGGCTGGAGATCCAAAGCATGCTATAGTTGAAATATAAGTGAGCCAAGCACTCTGGTTTATCCCTGTAATCCCAGCACTCAGGAGGATGTGGCAGAAGGTTAAGCAGTTCAAGCTAAGCCTGCCTATGTGGTGGGTTTGAGGGCAACATGGCTAGACAGCAAAATCTTGAAGAGGAAAAGGGAAGGAGGAAGAGAAGAAGGGAAGATCAAGGAATGTAGATTCAAAGCAACTGAAGCTATCTGATGACTTCCTCTCTAGTCTATCAGAGTATGTAAAAATTAGGAAGAAACACTGACTTCTTATGCCTCCTGGATGAAGCCTCCTCTTTGGGGACATTTCAAGACATTACCATGAGGAAACCAATATTCATAATGTCATGTTGTCAGCAACTCACCTTGCTGCATGCCTGTCCAGACACACCTTATAGGCCACTGTATAACTTATGCATATTAAATGACTCAAATTCCCAAACTCTCTACATGTAACTGCAACACTCAGGTTCTTGTTTAATATAGAGAAAGTACAGAGGCCTGTATGAAACTGTCAGGTGACCATGTCACTGTGCCCTAAACTCTTGCTGGGTGGCACCTACAGCCACTTCCTCCATACACAGTTTAAAGAAAGCAGAGCATGCTGCCCTCACCCCAGCATGCGAGTCTCCAGAAGTCAGAAAGGTCATGAGTTCTCAGCAGGTCAGCTTCCAAGGAGTAGGCTGGTCCTGGAGAAACCAGCTGAACATGTTTATCCTTGATCTCTAAAGATGGAATCTGAAAATGTGCAAGCATATGTTTGCTTCTCAGACGGCTTTATACACACTGTTGAGCAAAGAATGTTGTATCTTCAAGGTAATTGAGATGCATTTTCCTTTCCATCATAGGTGCTACTTCCTTCCATTTTATTTTATTGGGGTTTTTATTATTTATTTATTTATTTATTTATTTATTTATTTATTTATTTTATTATTTTATTTGTATGGAATCTCAAACAAAATTTTCCTTTAGTTGTTAGAGGAATACTGCTAGGGTTTCCCATGAAATGTTAATTAGTCCTTAGGATTGATGGTGGGCAGGACTGTACAGGACAGCCTTCATACTAATGACCCTCCAGCTTAGGCCAAGGCCTCCTATGCTTCCCCTCTGTTTACTATTCTGTGAGATTCCCTAATGAGATGTGGGCCACTTAGGGTGAGAGGAAGGTTGTAGGCTCCTTCTAGGTCTTAAAAAAAAAGCTACATTCTGCAGATTCATTCCTTCTCTATAATTCTAATGAGAATCTTAGGGGGGGGAAGGGTTTTTAAATGTAAGGATCCACACAAGTGCAGAGAATTTATTATTTACCATTTTGACCACACTAACTAATAATCCAATTTCATTTTGCCTTCACCTAAGGCAAGCAATCCTCCATCTGCCTCTCTCCTGCTTATTCTCTTTTCTTTTTTCACTAAATAAAAAAAGATTAAATTTTTTTTAATCTATGGATGTCTCTATGTACCTGCTGCTTATGCCTGAAGAGGCTACTGGATCTACTGGAGTTACTGAAGGTTGTGACCTGCCATATGGTAAACTGGGAACAACACTTGGGTCTTCTGCAAGAGCAGCCAGACCTCTCAACCACTGAGTGGT